AACCCCAGGAATGGAGATTCCAAGGAAAACTAGTCCTCCCCCAGTGAGGCTAAGACGTTGCTTACTAACTCGACAAACTGACTCATTTGGGTAAGAAAAAACTGACCACCTTTTAGCCAGAGAGAAACTCTTTTTCCATATACCCTATATAGACTCCCCTCCACAGCAAGTTGTCAGCAATTGTGTCCTCTGGGCCAAGGTCAATTCAGGGAGACTAAAACTACCAGAGGGTGTCTGAGCCAGAGGCCATCGACCTGACCCATGTTGGGAAGTTGGCTTTACAGAGACCAAGCCTGGCATGTATGCTAACAGGTATTTGCTAGTTTTTATAGACATTTTCATGTGGGTTGAAGCTTTCCCCTCCAAGAGAGAAACGGCTCAAATAGTAGTCAAGATACTGGAAGAAGTTTTTCCCCGGTTCAGCTGCCTAAGGTAATAGGGTAGGACAACGGGCCCGCTTTTGTCTACCAGGTAAGTCAACTGGTGGCCAAATTACTGGGGCTTGATTGGAAATTACATCGTGCCTATACACCCCAGAGTTCAAGACAAATAGAATAAACACAACAATCAAAGAGACCCTGACAAAATTAGCACTGGAGACTGGCACTAGGGACTGGGTTCAACTCCTTCCAATGGCTCTCTATTGAGCAAGGAACACCCCCGGGGCCCCATGAACTCACACCATTTGAAGTCCTATATGGGGGACCACCTCCAACCACTAGATTTGTTGATTCTGATGTATCTGCTTAGGCCAATACCCCAACCCCACAGGCACACTTGCAAGCGCTGCAAACAATTCAGGAGCAGATTTGGAGGGTCTTGGCTGCGGTCTATCAAGAAAAAAGGACCACCGGCCAAGCCTCACCCCCTCCCGTAGGGTCCAAGTGTAAGAGACACCAATCCAAGACATTGGAGCTCCGCTGAAAAGGACCTTACACCTTGCTCCTGACAACCCCAATGGCTGTAAAAGTCGATGGGATTGCTGCCTGGGGACATGAAGCCAGCCCCACCTTCTGACCCAGAAGGAGCAGAATCATGGCAGCTTCAACGCACCCAAAACCCACTCAAGACTCTCAAAGAAACCTTTTTAATGATTTTCATGCTCTTAAACCTAACATCCCTAAGCTTCTGTGCAGCTCCTAACCCCCATGCTCCTCATGTCACTACCTGGCAGGTGAGGAATCCTGAGACAGGAGGAATTATAAACCAGATTGAGAGATTTGAGTTTCAGAGCAAGGATGTAGGAAACAGGTAAGAAAAATAATTCTTGCAAGCAGAATATAGAAAATCACAAAGAATGGACATGGGCATGGGTGGAAAGATCAGGAATTATGAGACCAAGAAAGGTTACTACGGTGATGGGGCTAGTGGTTATATGCTAGGCTGATCTTGCTAAATAGGGCTAGTTACTGAATCATCAAACCTTTGTGGAATAACTGAAGGTTCTCAATGTACAGCTAAGAGAAAGCCAGAGTACGGAAGACTTTAGTTTGCAAAGAAAAAAAGGGATAAGTTTCTCACAAGATTTGGCCCACAACAAAGAAATAGGTCCCAACCCTGGACCAAATGGTTCCAGATGACCAGCCCTGTCTGGGTCACACCTGGCCAACGGACAGTCTGGGGTCTTTCCAACTCATTCTGTGGTTTTTCCTATGAGAAACAGGTCACACCTGGGTGATCTCTCAAACATGAGGTCAATCACCTTGTGCCCCATGCATGTATGCTGATTTGTGGGTTGTCTCCATAAAAAGGAGCCTGAACTCTGTGGTGGGTGTGCAGCTTTCCCCGAGATTGCGATCACCCAAGTGCGCACTTGTTCGATAAACACCTCTTGCTTGTTGCATCCCCTGGAGTTGGTGTTTGTGTCGCGGGGCTCTTCCATTGGCCCATGAGGCCCCTGAAATTAGGGCCTTACATCTTCATAATGAAAGGAAATGTTAATTTCAGTGGAGGTTCATGAAAACCAAAGTAGTAACTTTTCGCAGAGTGTTGGTGGCACACACCTTTAATCCCAGCACTGGGGAGGCAGATTCCAGTGCAGTAACCCTAGTAAAATTCAGGGCAGCAAAGCAAAGGAAAATGGGTACATATGGCAAAGGTTTAAAGCTCTAAAATATAAGCAACTACTCTAAGTCACTAAGAAAATCACCCAACAGAATTAGATAGACTATGTGATCCACAAAAGAACATATGACTCAACAATTTCGTCGGGTGAGTTTTAATCACTACTTATGAAAGATGAAAAAGAAAAGAAAAAGTAATTTTCTATATTCTATCTTCCCACCACCTACTGGCTATTCACATTAAGTCCAGTCCTGAACTCTAGTTAGAGACCTCAGAGCTAAGTCTCCATCTTCTTAACAGTCAACCCATCAGCTGCAACAAGCAGGGACCAGGCAGATCCTGACCCAGAACCCCTCTTTCTGCCTATTACCTCACCCACTGCTGGGCTCAAACCCCAGTAAGGGACCCCAGAGCTAGTCCCCTTCCTCACCCCAGCCATCAGCCACCCCACTCAGTTCTCGGCTGGAACTCCATCGGGAGACCTCAAGAGCCAGGCTCCTCTTCCCAGCCCATCCACCTATCAGCTACCCCAATGACTATGCCAGTTTGGGACTGTGGTATTCAAACCAGAATTTCTGCTAAAAAAAATTGCTTGCTAGAGACAAGTCACCCTCCTGACCATCAGCCACCTAACCAGCAGAGCTCTAGAATGTCAGGGAGTGCCATCGAGAATCCCAGTTATGGATCTATGAGTCAGTCAGTCCATCCACCTGCCCATACAACCGTCAGCTACCCCACCCATTGCTAGGTTGAACCAGGACCCCAAAATGGTCCTAAGACTGAAAACTCAAGGATCATGAGGTTGGTCCATAACCTGACAAGATCCAAACATCCAGGAAAAAAATTTAACTCATATCTATCCATACAAATGCCACCAACTAACACTCAATGCCCGTGTCCCTTTGCAAAAAAAGCATGAATTATCAACTATGTCTCCTCAAGAATCCAATAACACCAAAGTAAAATTTCCTGAAAATCAACTTAGCCAATGCCCAAGGATAAGGACTTTAAAATTATAAATAGGTTCAAGGGTTTCAAAAAAGTGGATATAAGTAAATGTCTGAATGAAGACCCTGACAACATTTGAATAAAATAGAGACATTTAAAAATAAAATTTAAGAAATAAAAACTCTGAAGGAAAGCCAAACTGGAATGAAATGTGAAATGAAAAGCCCAGAAGTGTAGAAAAAAAGAAAAGCCCAGAAGTGAAAACAGATAGTGCAGAGGAAAGCCTCACACACTGACTGCTTCAAGAGGAAGAGTTAAAAGAAAATGTTTAAAAAAAAAAAAAAAAAAAAATCGGGGACAAAACATCCAGGAAATCTGAGACACCATGAAAAGACCAATCCTAAAATACGTATAGAAGAAAAGAAACCCAGGTCAACAGCACAGAAAAAAAAAAAAAAATCAGATTTCTTAATTTTAAAGTTTGTATTATCAAGGTGCAGGAGGTATACAGAACACCACATAAATAGAACCAAAATTTAAAAAAAAAAAAGAAAGAGGAAATTCATGACATGATAACTTTAAACTATGTACAGAAATGAGAAAGCCCGAAGAGAAAAAGGCCAAGTTGCACAGAGAGGCAGACCCTTCAACAGAACACCTGACTTTTCATTGGAGACCTTGAAAGCCAGATTAGCCCAGACTGATGTTCTACAAATTCTGAAAGAGCAAAGACGCTGACCCAGACTACTATACCCAACAAAATTGTCAGTTCTAATCCAAGGAGAAAAGCTTGGCCTGAATGTCCACTAAGCCAGCTTTACACAGGATACTGCAAGAGATGCGCTAGTCCAAAGAGAAGACTAAACACATGCAAGAGGACACCACAGATAAACAATCCTAGAACACTTAGCCAAGAGAAATCTGAGGAACCACCACAACAGAAATTAATGAACACTGGTAAGAAATCAAATTCTCTAAATTGCTAGCAAAAGCTAAAGACTATCTGCAGGTTAAATCAGTAAACGTAATCCATTGTTTTGTGAAAAGTATAGCACACCTTAGAATAAAAGGATGGGAAAAGGTCTTCTAAGCAAATAACTAAAAATCCAACAGACATAGCTATTTTATTATAGGACACAATACACTCCAAAACTAATCAGGATAGGGAAGGATACTTCATATTCATTAAGGGAAAAACCCACCAAGAGGATATTACAGTTTTAAAAACCAAAACCCCCAAATACCACCCAGTTTTACAGAATAAACAGGGATGGATCTAAAAATCACATTATTGGCCCAAACAGTGATGATGGGGAGTTTCTATACGCCACTCTCATCCCCTAGGCCATACAGACAAAAACTAAGTTGAATGGAATATAATAGATGCTTACAGAGCACTGTATCCAGACACTAAAGAAGGATACACGTTCTTCTCAATAGCCCGTGGGACTTTCTCCAACACTGACTACAAATTAGGACACAAGGCAATTCTCAAGAAACATGGGAAGACATGCATGAAATAGCATGCATCCTGCACAAAAAGGATACAACCAACAGTGAGCTAACACATGAAACACAGTGTTCACACATAGAATGACTTGGCATTATCTACCATTGTTTTTATAATTACTAGAACCAAGCTGCAAGACATCTACTTCTGGCCTGACCACAGGTTTCTGAGTAGGTACGATTCACATACACACACACACACACACACACACACACACACACACACACACACAGAGTAAAACCCTGAATTGCTTTTCTCATTTCCAGAGCGGACAAACTGTCTCTGCTTTTGTAGTGTTAAGAACCTATGTGTGCACATGCACACTCACATACATGGACAGGAAAAATGTATAATATTAATGGAGTGAGTTCTCTGGGTAGAGAATTTAGAGGCCTTGAGACTTTTTTCTTTATATATTTTCTATATTCAGGATGAATACTGTAGTAACATATTTTTAGAATTAAATTCAGGCACTTACCCTGGTCCATAGTTGCATATAAAATATGCTCCATTAGAAAGGCTTGAAAAGTGAGAAACTCTAGGGCAAAACTGCACTGCACAGCCAACCTTGTAAGTATCTGCCCAAACAACCTGAAAGTACAAGAGAATTTCTTACCATAGAAAGGAATATTTGATCATCACCAAGCCTTCATAGTCTTCGTAATTATAGCCACTCTAGTTGTACAACTTTTATGTTTTTTTGAGACAGGGTTTATCTGTATTGCTTTGGAGGCTGTCCTGGAACTTGCTTTGTAGACCAGGCTAGCCTCGAACTCAGATCCACCCACCTCTGCCTCCCAAGTGTGGGGACTAAAGGCATTCACTACCAACACATGGCTACTAGGGAAATTTTAGACACTTCAAAATTTCTGTGGAAACAAATCCCAAATTATAATCTCAGTTTATGGATGCATGTAGAAAATAAACACGTACATGGCAAGATAACAGTGGAAAGCTGCCAAAGGTCTTTGCAGGTATCACGGCCGGAGAGTGAAAACTAGCTACAGCCAAATTTGGTCAATCAGACTGGATCAAAACTACTAGAAAGTCTGATCCCATGTTTTAATGTTCCTTCACATTTAAACACAGACAAACTGGGGGAGTGTCCCTACATGACAGTTCTCATAACAAAGCTTCAGGGATGACTACATTGAAACTCCCTTGCAAAGTAGCAAAGCACCTGTGCCCTTTGCAGTAAGAGTGACGTCTATTAGCTGCTAAACGCAGCTCAGAGCTAGGGCCTAGAAGGAGGAATTGTAATAAGCAGAAGGATGGATTCTATTGATGGAAGTTACAAAGTACATGGGGTCTCTTTCATAAGGATGAGTTCTATTCACTGAGAGACAAAGTTCAGGGATTTGGAGGAAATTCAGGTGGAGCCTGCTCCTAATAGAACAGCAAAGGATCACCTGGTTGTTGATCACCTTGGATGCTTGAGTGAAAGTGGGCAAGCATTGTTCTTCCTTGCATTGGAAAGCAACCCTGTGTGCTCGACACTGTTTTCTTCAATGCTTACTCCAACCTAGAAGTTGTCAATTTGTGGGTCATGACCTCTTTGGGGTCGCATATCAGATCATGCATCATCAGATATTTACATTATGATTCGTAACAGCGGCAAAGTTACAGTTATGAAGTAGCAATGAAATAATGGTATGGTTGGGGGGGGGTCACCATCACATGAGGAACTGAATTAAAGGCTGAAGCATTAGGAAGGCCGAGAACCACTGCAGTAAGGCATGCTTCTTGCAGAAAGATACTACAATGAAATGAAATAGGGTAACCCAATTGAGTGCTTGATGGGAGGAAAGACCTACTAAGTGACCTTTGAACTGAGATTCAGGGGATGAGGATGTAGACTTGAGAATAAACATCAGAAGACATGGATAATGGACAACATCCATTCTTGGAGATAAAGGTTCCCAGGATGCTAGTTGCTCAGCATGTTAGAGTGGCATAAAAAAAAAAAAAAAAAAAGGCAAAGTGGATGCACAAGAGAGAGGGACAGACTGAAGGAGTTCTGCTGGGTAAGGGCAATACTCTTTCTGGCTATCTAACAAGGTCCACTTGGTACTTAGGAAATGAACTGAGAAGAACCAAGGGGAGGAGGCAGCAATTCTTGAGACCGTCTCGGCAGGGTTTGAGAAAGAACACATGGAAACCTGTGGAGTTCATGACTCATAGATGTAGCTCAAAACATTCGATTTTGTTTTATATGGGGGAAGCATTTGGGTTTGGAACCCAAATGATAGTTATTAAGACAGAAAACAAGCAAGGTGGGTAGGAACTTGGGAAGAGGGTTCTGTTTAGAACATGTTTGTTGACTAGTTTCATGAATTCTTTGTATATTTTGGAGATTGGCCCTTTGTCGGATATAGGATTGGTGAAAATCATTTCCCAGTCTGTGGGCTGCCGTTTGGTCTTGTCGACTGTGTCCTTTGCCTTACAGAAGCTTCTAAGTTTGAAGAGGTCCCATTTATTAATTGTTGCTCTCAGTGTCTGTGCCCCAAGAGTTATATTCAGGAAGCGGTCTCTTATACCAATTTGTTCAAGGGTACCTCCTACTTTCTCTTCTAAGAGGTTCAATGTGGCTATGATGTTGAGGTCTTTGATCCATTTGGATCAAAGTTTTGTGCATGGCAACAGACATGGGTCTATCTGCAGTCTTCTATACACCCTCATCCAATTGTGCCAGCACCATTTGTTGAAGATGCTGTCCTCGCCCCATTGTATAATTTTAGCTTTTTGTCGACGGTCAGGTGTTCATAGGTGTGTGGGTTAATATCAGGATTTTCAACTAGATTACATTGGTCTACTTGTCTAGTTTTGTGCCAATACCAGGCTGTTTTCAGAACTATAGATCTGTAGTAGAGCTTAAAGTCAGGAATGCTGATGCCTCCTGAAGTTCTTTTATTGTATAGAGTTGTTTTGGCTATCCTGGGTCTTTTGTTTTTCCATATAAAGTTGAGTATTGTTCCTTCAAGGTCAGTGTAGAATTGTGGTGGGATTTTAATGCGGATTGCATTGAATCTGTAGATTGCTTTTGGCAAGATTGCCATTTTTTACTATGTTTATCCTACCTATCCAAGAGCATGGGAGATATTTCCATTTGCTGGTATCTTCTTTCTTTAGAGCCACAAAGTTCATATTATATAGGTCTTTTACTTGTTTGGTAAGCGTTACCCCAAGATACTTTGTTGCTTGTGGCTATTGTAAAGGGTGATGCTTGTTTGATTTCTTTCTTTGTCTCTTTGTCTGAAAAAAGTAGGGCTACTGATTTTTTTTGAGTATATCTTGTATCCTGCTAGTTTGCTGAAGATGTGTATCAGCTGTAGGAGTTCCCTGGTAGAGTTTATTGGGTCACTTATGTAAACTATCATATCATCTGCAAATAGAGACAGTTTGACTTCTTCCTTTCCAATTTGGATCCCCTTGATCTCCTTTTGTTGTTTTATAGCTTTCCTAGAACTTCTAGTACGATATTGAAGAGATATGGAGAGAGAGAATGCAGCCTTGTCTTGTTCCTGATTTTAGAGGAATTGGCTTAAGTTTCTCTCCAGTTTGATGTTGGCAGTTGGTTTGCTGTATATTGCTCGTATTATGTTTAGGCATGTTCCTGTTATCCCTGATCTCTCCAAGACCTTTATCATGAAAGGGTGTTGAATTTTTTCGAAGGCTTTTCAGCATCTAGGGACCAAATAACCCTATTAAAAAATGGGGTACAGAACTGAAGAAAGAATTCTCAATAGAGGAAATCAAAAAGGCTGAAAGACAGAGTGCTCAACATCCTTAGCTATCAGGAAAATGCAAATCAAAACAACTTTGAGATACCATCTTACTCCTGCCAGAATGGCTAAAATTAGAAACACCAATGACAGCTTATGCTGGAGAGGATGTGGAGAAAGGGAACACTCCTCCACTGCTGGTGGGAGTACAAACTCATACAGCCATTTTGGAGATCAGTATGGCGGTTCCTCAGGAAAATGGGAATTAGTTTACCACAGGACCTGGCAATCCCCCTCTTAGGCATATACCCAAAGGATTCACATCCATGCAACAAAGACATCTGTTCAACTATGTTCATAGCAGCATTATTTGTAATAGCAAGAACCTGGAAGCAACCTAGATGCCCCTCAATTGAAGAATGGTTAATGAAGATGTGGCACATCTACACAATGGAATACTACTCTGCAGAAAAAAATAATGGTATCATGAAATTCACAGGCAAATGGATGGCACTTGGAACCATCCTGAATGAGGTAACCCAGTCACAAAAAGAGGAACATAGTATGTACTCAATCATATATGGATTTTAGACCTAGAGCAAAGGATCACCAGCCTATAATTCACACCAAAGGAACTAGGATACAAGGTGTATTCTAAGAGATTCATATAAAGTCCCTCACAGAAGTGGGAAGAGACAAGTCCCCCAGAGCTCAGGTGAAGTGGGGGGGGGGCAGTGAATGGAGAGAGAGGTAGGAGAAAGGGAGGGGGAGGAGAGGAAAACATGTGCGACTAGGAAGATTGAGTCCGGGTAGGAATAGAAGACAGGAGAGAGAGAGAGAGAGAGAGAGAGAGAGAGAGAGAGACATAGAGACAGAGACAGACAGAGAGAGAGAGAGAGAGAGAGAGAGAGAGAGGAGAGAACATAAAAGAGGGAGCCAATATTGGTTTTAAAGAAAATTGAACCCAAAGAAAGGTCTAGAGACCTACAATACTGCCGCCAACTAACAATTTGAGCTTCCGTGGAAAGGCTACCACAAATGCCCTTCCCGGATAGTGGAATCAACAACTAACTTATCCATACAGCCCTCATCTAATACCTGTTGGAAATAGAAGCAAACACCCATACATAAACACTGAGTCAAACTAGAACCCAGATGCAGATGGAGAGGACAAGACCAAGCTGCAGAAACACAGAGATATAGCTGACCTGAACAAGGAGGAGCTAATGGGCCCCAGACTGATAGCTGAGAATCCAGCATGGGACTGACTCAGGCCCCCTGAATATGGGTCTCAGCCAGAAGGACCGAGCAGCCTAAGGGACCTCAGACAGTGGAACCAGGATGTATTCCTGGTGCACAAAAGGGCCTTGCAGACACATCCCCCATGGAGGGATAACTGCCTTAACCTAGAGACAGAGAAGCCCTAGTCCCTACTTCACATGACCTGTCAGATCTACATGATCCCACCTGGATGGCATTGCCCTACATATGGAATTGGGGTGGGGGGATGAGAGGGGAGGGTGGTTAGGGTGCTTGTGAGAGGGCAGAGAGGGTAAAAGTGAGTGAGAGAAGGAAGGGCAGGGAGGGAGGGAGAGGGAACTGGGATCGACATGTAAAATAATAAATTAAATAAAAAACAAAACAAAACAAAAGAACATGTTTGTTTTGAGCCACCTATGAGGCATCCCAGTAAAGACCGGCATAGATGCTGGGCTTAACCATCTACAGTTCAGAGGATGGAGTAACTTCAGAGATAGAAATCTGGAGAATGCAGGCTAAATCAAAGCGTATAGGCAAAGATAATAGAAACAAAAGGGTAACTGCAACCCTGGGTTAAGGAAATACATGTCGGTTAAGTAACCGACAGCAAAGCAGTGATATGCGGTCCTGATGTCGAGGAAATGGAAACCAGAGCTGTCTCCCAAGAAGGCAGCTGGGCTGTGAAGCTGGGTTCAGACCTCAAGGGAACTCCAGACCTAGTTTTAATAAACATATTAAACACCTTCAGTGGTCCTTTCTGCTTCCTTCTTTCTCTCTCAAGACAGGGTTTCTCTTTGTAGCTTTGGAGCATGTCCTGGCACTCACTCTGTAGACCAGCTTGGCCTCAAACTCAGATTCACCTGCCTCTGCCTCCTTACTGCTGGGATTAAAGGTGTGTGCCAGCATGCCTTTTCAATGAAACATTCTACCTCTTCATTTCCCACAAATTCTCATATATTACATGGCTCATTTTGACTAAGAATGATCAGTATCAAAGACTACTGAAAACATTTGAGAACCTAACTAGCCCTCGAAGATAAACCATTTAACTCTTCTTACAGTGACACAAAATTTACCTTTGAAATTTTAAAACCATAATTATCAAGCCATTTTGTGCCGAAGAGTTGTGCTAAATATGTGGGCACAAAGGTGAGTAGCCTGGGGCCTGCAACAATCAGATATAGAGGCACCCATGGGAACTGTTGCATAGGTCTCTGGTCACTATCAGTGGTTCTAATACATGGCACAGGACCGTTCTGTCAGGAAATGGAGTTGAGCTGGGGGCCACAGACATCTTGTCTGTAAGCTTGGAGCAGAGTCCTGTGTGAGCCCAGGATGGAGAAGACAAATTCACAGAACTGCAACAGTGGCCACTCTGGCTGCAGGAAAAATCAAATTATCACTGCCCGATGAAGGAGTGGAGGGGAGGAGGGAGGGAAACCAAGCCAGGCAAGGATGGGATCGGAGATCACCTAAGGGCTTCATGGAATGCAGTCATGTGGGTAGGAGGACCTGTCCTTTGCAGTCTGACTTCCCCTTGCTTGGGGAGCTGGTAGAGTCTATAAAGGCTGTTCCTAGAATCTCAGAGACAAGCAGCAGTTCCCTGCCCTCCTTTAGCGAGAGTCCCTTCTCCTGAAAAGGAGTGCTCCCTGAGGAACAACTGTCTTAAGTATCTGAAGCCAGAGTTTCACGAAGGGAGCTCCAGTCTAGACAGGCAACGAGGCGCCTTGGACTTCCTGTTGAGACATTAAACATTGTTTGGCCAATGTGACCCTTGTACTTTGACTTTCTAATCACTTTTGTTATTTTGAAATTTTCAATTTTATTCATTTTAGTTGTGACTGATTTTATCTGGGACGCTCTAAAGGTGCAGAATTCTGTGCCCATCAGACTTACAAAGTGACAAACACTGGTGCTCTTATACCTCCCCTCCAGGTGCTCCTGCTTTAGTTGGTGTGTTAGCTGTTAGTCATGGAGGCCAAATATCAGAGGGAAGGCATGTTCTAGGTCATGGTCTGAGTGTGTTCTAGGTCATGATCTCAGTGTGTTCTAGGTCATGACCTCAAGATGTGTTGTCATCGTGCCTTTAGATCTGTGATGATCATGGAAACTAGTCACACCTTGTGATGTACAGGAAACCAAAGAGAGAAGAGGGTAAAGTCCAAATATTGATTTCAAGTGAACACCCCCATGACTCATCTTCCTTTGCCTGTACCACACCTATGTAAAGTGTTCACCACTTCCCAACAGTGCTTCAGACCTCTAGGAGACCTTGCCGATCTCAACTCTGGTGGTTTTCAAAGCTGGGTTTAACTGGATATGGTGCCTCGCAACGATAATCCAAGAACCAGGGAAACTGAAACAGGAAACTCCTCACTGTGAATTCAAGGCCTATCTGGGCTACATAGTGCATCCCAGGCCAGCCTGGGCCATAGAGTTAATCCTGTTTCTTTACATAGTAATCAAAGAAGCAAGCCAGGATCACACGGTGCCAGGGCAGGATTATCAACTTGGATCCAATGTAATGTGGAACTTTCCCATCAGTGAATCTTTTAAACAAACATAAAAACTTGCTAGTCTGAACATAAGTGTTGAATTAGCATGTCAATAAATACTACACTGTTCACAGAAAGATAATCTGAACTTGTGCCTCATACTCTGTTAACAGCTATCATTGGGCCACATATGTAAACAGCTTGATTTTCATAAAGTGGGGAGGTAAGTAGAGGTTACAATCCCAACTTTTGGTAACTTTCCAGCAGGAAGCTGAAAAGGACCACTCCAAGGTCTCTTTAAAGGACGAAACAGGAATTGTAGCCAAGATAATGTCAGAATCCTCTAACACCATCATTATAAAACTGGATCCTGCACTCCAATCTTTGCTAAGTGCTTCCAAACCAACAGGTGTTGGTCCAGATTTCACATACTCAGATATTAGCCTATGTGCTCATACTTTATTGGGGTACACTCTTGGAGGTGTGACTAAGGAGAAACAGGAGCGAGGGAGGGAAGGCAGGATATGGTTGGGAATAGTTTCTGGCTCTCAGGCTAGCTCCCTCTGCTTTTGGGAGACATAGGTATGCAATTTGGGGAGACACATGTGTGCAGAGCTAGTATAATTTGGAGCGACTGACACAGGCCAAATGAGCAAAGACGACCCAGAAACTACACAGCCAAGGACTCACACATTGTTCCACACTGCAAGGGATGCAGGACTTGGTTCTTGAAAATGGGATTTGTCATCAAGTAAAAAGACTTTAGGATAAATTAACCAGGTAGAGAAGGTGTACAATGTATATGAACAGGCCTGTTACTTTAGTTGAATTTTAGAGAACTGAGCAGGCAAAGTATGTGGCAATTCAGAAGATGGTTCACTTTATGACAGACCTATTAGCCATACTCGTATCCCCTCATCCTGAGTCAGAACAAGAGTAAACCCAAGTCCATGTCACACAGACCTGAGACAGCAGAAACTTCCCTACATGTGTAAATTTTCCCTTTACATCAAGGGGGGCGGGGGAGAGGGTCAATACTTGGGACATGAGAAAACTAATTTCCGAGATCTTATCTCTCATATAGACATAATACCAAATTCATGATCATAGACTACCATATTCTGTCCTCCCTGCAGGAGGAGGACCTCACCATGGGAGAATGTTCAGGAATTCCCAAGTATGGGGTGGGGGTTGTAATTCTCAATAACTGTTTTGTAAATGAGTATGGTGTTTACCTTTGTAAGCTGAAAGGCCTGTCCTGTTCTTACCACAAACATAGACAGTTCTAGCATCCCTACACCAACCATACATCCACAGATTGAGTTGGAGGGTTTATGATCTTTCCCTGAAGCCACTAAGCCAGTGAGAAGAATTCAGATTCACTTATCCAATATATTGCAAGGCTTTAAGTAATGTATATAGGTTGTATCTCGTATGAGTGTCTAGTACTGATTAGAATGATGTCTCTCATACGTGACTTTATCCATGTAACTAAGTCTCCAAGTACATTTTCTTTCACATTTATAATCACACCAGCTCACTATATTTTCTCAGCACCAAGTTCAGTTCTCTGCCTTTAAGGTGGTGATTTCACCTACCTGAGTGTAATGGCCACAGCCATCTGAGCTTCTCTTAGTGCTGCAGTCATAGTACTCAATTTCGTTGTACCAGTCTGTGATGGCCGAGGATGCTGAAAAGAGGGTTAACGATCCAGTCCAGATATTTTCTCCCAGTACAGTGAAGTTTGGGTGCAGCTGTGTTTTCAGCTGTGGGTTGTGTAAAAATTGGCAAAATTTTGCCCAAGTTTTTGCAATGCGGGCTAGTTCTGGGTCCCAAGACTGAAAAATAATTAAAACAATTTAGGAGTCAAAAAAGGGAATCTCTCCCTCAAAACTGTATTTCTCTGCTCATTCAGATCTGTGAACACCACTGGCTTACTAAATTTTACCTCCAGCTTCCAGGTTCTTCTCCAGTGGGGAGTCCAAGGGGCAAATGAGCTGTGAGGACAAGAACTGAGGAGGATTGACAGCCTATAATGCTAGCTAACTAATCTCCACCTGCTAACTTGGGCGAAACAGGACATCATCAGGTCAGACTCTGATGAGGGGAGAAGCAGAAACATCCGTGTCTGCAGGTGATATGGACTTATTAACCAGTAGCCCCAAGGGGTGAACAAGTCATAGCATATAAGATATTTATGTTGCAATTACTGACAGTAGCAAAATTACAATTATGATGTAGGGGGGTCACCCCAATACAAGGGTCACAGCATTAGAAAGGTTGATAACTACTGCACTAGAGGATGGTAGCTGTTCATGCTCATAGATTTGGAGATTTTCAAATGCCAGTAGCGCTGAAAAAGTGTTTACAGATTCACCTCCCTGCTAATTCTTTCTTCTTAAAGCTAGAAGACGAAATCAGAAATTGAGCACAGAAACACAAAAGACTCCATGTGCCAAAGGACTTCTGAGCAAAAATGACAGTGCTAGAGGAATCGTCAGTCTGGACTTGAGAAACAGAAGTGAGGTCTGAAGAGAGACTAATGAAGAGGACACCAGACAAATGGGGCTGGGGAAACCGGATAGGCTCACACAGAAGCATGAAAACAGGGTTCTTACGGTGTATAACCGGTCATCAAAACCTTAAGAGGAGACCTGAAACTGCCACAGTCCGTGCCTCATTTCGCTTCCTCTTTTTCCTCTTTGTAGCTTTTATTTCTTTCTCTTTTGACAGATTACTTTGGCTAAGGTTTCAATATATGATGCATAGGCAATAATTTTCTGAATAGGGGCTCAGGAAGTAAGAAGTGACAGCAGTCATGACAATTGAGACTGCATCAAACACCACGGGCACAGCCAGGCGGTGGTGGCACTTGGGTGGCAGAGGCAGGGGAATCTCTTGAGTTCGTAGCTCTTGTTGGCCAACCTGGTCTGGTCTACAAAGCGAGTTCTAGGACATCCAAGGAAGGCTACATAGAGAAACCCTATCTCAAAAAGCCAAAAAGCAAAGCACACAACAAAAAAAAAAAAACACAAAAAACCACGGTCACAGTAGTGGCATTACTGTGACGTGACAAACTAAAGAATGGGAGAAAAATTGGGTGTAATGGTGCATGTCTTTAATTACAACCAACAAACAGACAAGTGAACCCAACTGAATCCTCAAAAGCATAGGTTAACATCCTTAGCCATTAGGGGATGCAGACAGGAAGCACGTTAAGAGCACATCTTACCTTATTCAGTACAATATCTAACTAAGAAAATAAATGGCATCAAAGACTTGGGTGGAGAAAAGCCCTAATACACTGCTGATAGGAATGTAAATTAGTTTAGCCACAGCCAGGCAGTGCTGGTACACGCCTTTAATCCCAGCACTCGGGAGGCAGAGGCAGGTGGATTTTTGTGAGTTGAGACCAGCCTGGTCTACAAGAGCTAGTTCCAGGCCAGGCTCCAAAGCTACAGAAAAACCCTGTCTTGAAAAACAAAACAAAACACAAAAACAAACAAACAAAAAACAAAAAATTAGTTCAGCTACTATGGAAGTCAGTATATATATATATATATATATATATATATATATATATATATGTTATCCAAAACATAAATGTTAAAGACTACTGTGTGATTCAGCTATAACATTTTTGGGCATATATCTCCAGGAATTGAAGTTAGCACACTTTAAGAGACATTTATTGTGGCACTATTCACAATATGCAAGCTATGGATTATATCTAATTGTTCACAAATAGATGAAGGGATAAGGAAATATGTGTACATATGTGTTTATATATACACATACCGTGGGGGATTGTTGAGGTACAAAAACAAAATTAGGACATTTGCAGGAAATGGATGGATCGGAGATCATCATGTTAAAAAACAAAGACTTGGAAGAGTGAGTTATCATATCCCTCTTATATGTGAAGTCTAGAGAAAATCAAAGACCACACAAAATTAGGGGAGAGGGCCAAAGGGCAATGGATGGGATCAGTATAATCAAACACATAATGAAACCACCATTGTTCTATACAGTACATGATGATAGAGTAAAGGCAACCAAAAGAAACACCACAAATATTAACAGGGGAAAAAAAGTGACAAAGAAGTCCGTTGCTCATGGCTGGGGAAAGGAAGTTATCTAGAAAGAACTGAATCATGCCTGTGACATTGCTTAAGGCAGAGTTGGTCGGTGAAGGGCTTCACGGTGTGGGTTCTGATCACTCCCTGGGTTTTACTGCGCATAGTTACAAGCAAAACAACCAACCAACCCAACTAAAAAACCATTCAGGGCTACCCAGAATTCACAGCCAGCTTAATGCAGGCAAGCCGCTTCTGGTGGATGTGTGCTACAAATACTGCTAGTGAACTCACCATGTACAGCATATTCCTGGCTGTGGGATTCACTCTTGACCGATATTGGTTGTGAGTTTGAACACATTCTTGGATGAAGTCTTTGTTGGTTATACTGGGCAAAGTCTCTGCTGTATATGAAGAAGTAGAAACAGAAGAAGCCATCCAGAGCATCATAGCAAGGATGGCCTGCATGATCCCTCTGGCTGAGGTCGACCTAGAACCCAGAGCCCTGGGGTCCTCTTGGTTCTCAGGTTTTTTTTCTTTCTTTCCTGTGCTGGAGGTTGAGCCCAGGGTCCTTTATGCTGGGTAAGGGCTCTGCCACTGAGCTACCTATCTTCAGTACTCTGTTCCTTCATGGGCAGCTTTACCGAGCAGTCGACTTCATCTTGAGAAGTCTGAAAGCAGAACATCAAAAGTCATTATGAAACTTACGCAATGGGTTTCTCCATATATGGCTTGCAGCCCATTCTGTTCTTAACCCTGTCTTGTCATTGCTTCTTGGTGACACAGCACCTATAAAATGCAGATTCTTGTTAGGCGGCATCCGGGTTTGAGCTTGGAGGTAGTCCCAAAGGACTTTCCCATGGTCTTCAGAAATAAGTCATGCATTAGTCAGGCTTCTCTGAGGGGACAGAAATGGCAGACTATGCCATTAAGAGGAGATTAGACTGGCTTAGAGGATGTGGCCTGAGGGGGTCCCGCAGCACTGGCTGTCTTGTGCCAGTAAGGCTGAGAATCTGGTAGCTGTTCAGTTTCCCAGGCAGGATGTCTCAGCTGTCAGATTCTGGAGTTGGAGCCCTTGGAGTCTTCCTGAAGAGGAATCCTGAAGCAGCTGAGTTTAATACCAACTACAGCAACAGGAAATGAAAGAACTTACCCGCCAAGAGGGAGGGCAAGCAGACAAAAAGCCACCTCCTTTCAGGTCCCCCCCCCCTTTTTTTTTTTTTAAACGTGGGCTGCCACCAGAAGGCTGTGACTCAGCTTAGAGTGAGCAGGTCATCCTGCTACAAATGATCTGATTAGGAAAACCCCGCCCAGGAGTGCCCAGCTGCTTGGCCTTTTGTTGATTCCAGATGTAGTCAATTTGACAGCCCAGATTACCATCACAAGTCTCCAAAGAGACTTGCAAATGTTTTTGTAAAACCTGTTTGTTGGGATCCTGTATGCAAGCAGAGGTGGGAATACAATGACCAGTGAAATGTCTGAATGAGTGATCTTTGCAGACTCCTCTCCTTTACAGACATAGTGGTAAAGCTGAAGTTACAGCTTAAGTAAGTAAGAGATAACGCTAATAAGAGCCAACCATTAAATACCCAACTAAGGGCACTTACTAAGAAACTGGCCAGAAAACACTGCTATATGCAGTGGGATCATTAGTAAGTAAAACAAGTATTTCTAGGGCATGGACACAATACCCAAAGTGCATCTGAAAAACAAAACAAAACTGTCATTAAGTTATTAAGACAATTACTAAGTGACCAATGACTGATGACCAAAACGACAGAATGTATATCCTGGACAAAGGTGGGGTGACTTCTGGCCCAGAATAATTTACAGTGCCAGATTTCATGATGTTCTTCAGAAATAGTGCACAACTTAAAAAAAAAAAAAAAAAACTATGAATTGTTTGACTCCAGAATTTTCTACGTAATATTTTCAGACGGTGGTTATTGGTGAGTGCCTCAAGTTCCAGAAAGTAAAGCCACAAATAAGAGGGGACTGTTGTGTAGAATTGAGATGCACACACAGGCATGCTTAGAGAAGGAGGGAGGGGACGGGAGGAGAAAGAGGTGAGGGTATTTTAGTTTCATTTCTGTTTGTGACTACCAACTGGCTGAACAGCTTAGCATGCTCTCTAAGTTCTCAGAAACGTATTAAGAGAGGCTGATGGGAGGTACTTCTGTTGATTGTAGAGGTTTGCAAATATCAAACAGGTTTAATATGTTGAACTCCTGCTGTGTGTATTAGGGTTAATGACATAAAAGCTGAAAGCAATCGAGGTTCTAACCTTGAAAGGAGTGCTGAGGTTTGGAGCAATGACAACACAGGCTGCTGACCTGAACAGTGTGGGAGCAACAGGAGACGATGCAAGGGAAGGACAGAGATGGCACCTCTCATTTTGCACAGTGGTTCTCGACCTTCCTAATGCTCCCACCCTTTAAAACATTTCCTCATGGTGTGATGACCCCTCAACCCTAAAATTATTTTCATGGCTACACCAGAATTGTCATTTTTGCTACTGTTATGAATCATTTTTGGAGACAGAGTTAGCAAGTGTGGGTAGAGACCCACGGGTTGAGAGCCACTCACTGACCTTGCAGTAAGGTTCTTTTTGGGTTTTGTTTTTTTTCTGAGCCTAGACTCAGGTAGGTGAGGATTAAATAAAAGGATAAATTGTGAGGAATCTTGGTGGGTACTATGGCAGGCAAGGGTGACCGAGGTGGAGGCCAGAGGGACACACACGCCAGAGACACACACACACGCCAGAGACACACACACACGCCAGAGACACACACACACGCCAGAGACACACACACACACACCAGAGACACACACACACACGCCAGAGACACACACACACACACGCCAGAGACACACACACACACGCCAGAGACACACACACACACGCCAGAGACACACACACACACGCCAGAGAGACACACACACACGCCAGAGAGACACACACACACGCCAGAGAGACACACACACACGCCAGAGAGACACACACACACGCCAGAGAGACACACACACACGCCAGAGAGACACACACACACGCCAGAGAGACACACACACACGCCAGAGAGACACACACACACGCCAGAGAGACACACACACACGCCAGAGAGACACACACGCCAGAGAGACACACACATGCCAGAGAGACAGCGTAAGTGAAAGTTTCATAAGAAAGGGACGGGGAGCGGGGTGGGGGGGGAGGTAAAGGACACTGGGACCGTCAAGAGGACAGAAAAGGAAAAGTCCTGTCTGCCCCGGAGGAAGAGCGGAGAAGAGCGACCAGAGAAGAGAGAGAGAAAGATCATAATTGGCTGAGGATCTGCAGATTAGTAGTCATGGAACCCTGGGCTGACCAGAGTACTGCCTGAGTGCATTTTCTGCCAGGTGACGGGGCAGGCCAGCATAATGCCAGAATCCTTACAATTGCTAATGTTACATAAGCAAATGACCTTTCGAGATACTCAGATATAATCTCAAACTTCATCTAGGATGCTCTGTTTTTGGTAGCACTGCATTCTAACATAATAAAGACTAAGCATTTTCTTGGCTGAGGCTCATAATTGGGTGACTTGGGTAATCACCAACAGTAAATGAAAGACATAAAAAGTAATGTTAATGATGGACTAACCTAGAAACCAATATCTGTTCCTTGGAATTTGCTAGCTTCCTCTCACAAGGCCCCGAGATAAGAAGAATTCACACTGCCCCTCCTTTCCTGTGAGTCAACAGGTGGTAAATAGTGTCAAGAGAGATAGCTGTAACTCTGGTTTGCCCAGACAAGATTAATTAGCACACCTGAGGCCCTAAGGTCTGCTGACCCTAATAGCAGACCATCCGGCCTCCAAGGGTCAGGTACTCAATGGACAGAGGGTCCCACCCCCTCCCTGAGCTTGTGGGGTTGCCTTTAAAAACACCTGGGCCCAGGGGAGGGGGCTTCTCCCTAGCCTGCGTGCTGGAGGAGCCCGTTTGCGCAAATGTTTCCTGTTCATTAAAGCCTCTTGCGTTTTGCAGCAACTGGACTGGACATTGAGTTCTTGGGGTATCGACAGAACCTGGAAGACTCCTCATTCTGAGGTCCTTACTTAAGGAGGCTCCTCCTTGTAGGCAGGTCTGAACCCGCTTTTCACCCTCTGCATCTGTTAGCTACACTGTCTGGATTGTGACCACAGAACAAGAAACAAACCACCAAGTGAAGAAATTTAGCAGCTGCACACATACAGCTCCCAAGAGTGAACATTATCATCTTGAAATTTGTACCCAGTTTTCTTTCCGTTGCTGGGATTAAACACTGGGCAGAAGAATTTGGGGGGAGGAAAGGGTTTATAATGTGGATATCATTGTGACTTTATGCAGAATTCAAAAGTAGCTCTGTCTCCCTCCCTCCGTGTCCCTCCCTCTGTCCCTCCCCCCCCCCACACACACACCTGCGTGCACACACATACACAGAGGCATGTGTGGTGAAGAGGGGGGAGGGAGAAGGAAGTAGGAGGTATTTTAGTTTTGCTTTGCTTGTGACTAGCATACTCTCTAAATTCTTAGAAACCTAAGAACTTTCATACCACACCTAGTTAGTGAGGGAAGTCAGGGCAGGAACTCAAGCTCTGATCTGGAGGCAGGAACTTAAGCAGAGACAAGGGAAAATGCTATTTAATGTTTTGTTTTTTTTTCCATCTTACTTTACAGTTCCCAGGACTACCTGCCTAGGGATAGGCTTGACCCTCCCATGTCAATTATGAATCAAAAACATGCCCCATGAACTTGCCAACAGGCCAATATGATGAATGCAATTCTTTATCTAGGGTTCTCTTCCCAGGTGACCCAAGTTTGTGTCCACTTGACAAAAAGAAAAAAGAAAAAAAAAAAAAAACCTAGCCAGCACAATATCGAAATAACCAACCAGTCCAGAACTAATCTTCAAAAAGGAAAATACCACCAGTGGCCATTTTTCTGTAGTATGCAGAGCAATTTAACTCCTCAGACAACAGCCCCACCTTCTCTATTCACAATATGTTTCTGCAACTGCAGCCCAACTGTGGTTTACCACAAGACAGCCGAGCAAGCACCTTGAGCTCTCAGGTTTACAAGTGTGTGGGGTGGGGGTGGGGGACATGGGACTTCACTCTTTGCCTTCAGTCTTTGGCACAGTGGCGTTTTAGCAAATTCCTGTTTCTGAGTTTCTGTATTCTTATTTATTTACAGTGGAGATAGACTGCTTTTCGTAGTAAGAACATGACACTATTTTGGAGAGTCATAAGCAAACTGACACACAGACACAGCATGATATACGTGTACACACATAAACAAGGATATTAGTACCCCCTGACTGTCACTGCATGAGAGGGTGGAGGACAAGTGATGTAGAAGCCACTATACTCTTACTCTCTCTAATTAGATTCTGGAGACACCTAGACCTCAGGACCCTCCAGCACACTGGTTCTCAACCTGTGTGTCATGACCCTGTTGGGTCAGATGGCCCTTTCACAGGGGTCAAAAACCATCAGAACACACATTTGCATTATGATTCACAACAGTAACAAGATTACAGTTATGAAGTAGCAATGAAAATAATTTTATGGTTTGGGGGTCATGACATGAGGAAGCGATGGCAGGCATTGGGAAGGCTGAGAACCACTGCCCTAGAGGGCTGTTTCTTCAGCCCCCTGCATCTTTCTGTCAGTGACCTATTTTCCTTTAAAGTAGGTACCATTTCAAGTTGGGTAACTCACCTTTGTGACCAGGAATTCCGGCTTTTGGGTTTTCCGGTTTGATGCAAGGTCACTCTTCAGCCTATGCTGTCCTCAAATTTGTGATCCTCCTGTCTCTTAATAGGCAATGAAGATACATATCTGTCTGGCTTTTCTTATTGTAAGGCAATAGTAGAGTAAGATCATAATGAAAGAGGCCATAATAAATTTATTCAGAAACAACTAGAGGAAAAGAAATCACATTTCAAATATAACAAAGACATTAGAGGAATTGGAGTTACAAAGTAGAGACATCAAGGGGACAGCAGATTTCTGTTAAGACTGAGTTAATACTGCTGATGTCAAGATAGGAAGTTGAAGATATCAAGAAAGGAAGAGATGA